TCATGTCTTTTCGCATATCTTTTCTAGATTCTAGACAATTTGAGATCGTTAGACCTCGCGCCTCGTTCTTTCTTTCTTTCTGGACGTCACCAAGTTACTCAACAACATGGGTACCTCTACTATCATCCATCTAGGAAAAACATGAAATCATATATACATGCAGAAAGAAAGTGAACATATATATATATATACACACATATATATATATATATAAATACATATATATACACCGGGTGAAAATAAGATGGCACAACTAGGATGCCCCCAAAATGGGTAGATGGCACGGAAAATGTGCAATGAACAATGCGTGCAACAAAAAAAAGAAACGCACTCCTCCAAGAGCAACTCCAGGCAAACATGAGGGGTAGATGGCGCAACTAGTGCGAGCATCCCGTGTGGTTAGCCAAGTGTAAGGGAGTGCAAATTGAAGAGGTAGATGGCACAACTCAGTGGCCAACCCATAGGAACCAAATCAATGGTGCCAAGTACTAGCACCAATTGCGCCATCTACTCCTGAAGCCCTGCACCCCGTGGTGTGCGCTCATTGATTCCCCGCATCCCTTGATCTTGCATGCAGATTGGTCGTTCAATAAATTCACTGTACCGTGGATTGTGTGGTATACAGAGTCAAACTGAAAGATCATTTTAGTCTTTCTGGAAGGACTCAAATTGTGGATGGATCCAACACAAACAATGGGGCGAATTAGTGTGAAGGGGCGACGCACTCAACCCCTTCCCCAAACAGGAATATCTACTGGATCATAGATGGCACAACTCTTTGTCTTGTGGTAAAAACAGACAGGTTCTTTAAATCTGCGGTGTTTAGTTAAAGCTCATATAGGCATACAGTCTGCAGTACCTCATGCATCAAGCTTCAGCAACGGCGGCGGGAGGCCAAGTCTTTCTTCAACCGAATGTCTAAGAAGAGCACTATATATATATATATGCCGCATACATCAAAGCTCAGTTGGGGACTTCAATACAGTTACCGATCAGTTGTGGTTAGAATTAGTCATCATCCTGTGCTTTGCGCCATCTATGGATGATGTTTGGGCTTTTTTTTAAATTGCATCCATTCTCAATGGTTTTCACTCATGAAAATTGCATTGCGCCATCTATGGAGGCCTTTTTGGCTTGATATGCACAAAGTTATGCCTCCCAAGCCCACGCGGTTGAGCGCCATTAGGGAAAAACAAATAAAGATGGAAACAAAAAATGCATTTCTGCCTTTAAAACAAATTTAAAACCAAGTAGATGGAACGCCTGGCCAGTGCCTGCCTGCACCTGGAGTAGTGCCATCTACAGATGGCATTTCCCTAATCGGGCACCCATGTTTTCGAACCCTAGTAGATGGCACTGTTCAAAAAACGGTGTCTGAAATTCTGACAGCGGAGTATATACACTATAAACATTATACCAATCAATCTAGCTCTGTCTATCTATATGCAGTATAAATTATAGCAACTATATTCAATATTGTAGACATACATGTTTTTGTACATCCCAACACCTTCCTTTCTGTCCATCGAGATGATGGATCCCGAGCCTTAGCAGCATGAAACCCAGGGCTAGCGCCAGGCGTGGTCGCTGGCCGGTAGAGCACCTCCCGAGAAAGTTGACAACCTATCATCAAAACCAACTAGTTGACATTCGCTAGCAGGTTGTAGGCCATTGTTTCTAGGTTGGAGGCCATTGCTTCTAGGTTGGAGGCCATTGCTTCTGGGTTGGAAGCCATCGCTATTAGGTTGGAGGCCATTGCTATTAGTTTACAATTGCTATTAGGGTACACTCCCTTTGAAGTTCGTTGAATCCTGTAAAGATTTAATTGGAGGCTTTGGGCATCGCTGAAGTGGTATGTGATAGAACCTCGGTTCATACTTCCTTTGAGTGCACCCCAGAGTTCTGGCAGCAGTTCTAGCCCTCTGGCTGCAGGACGGGGTTCAAACCAAGCTGCCATGTGCTCAGGTCAAAAGAGCCACGCAGTGCCCATGGCTCAGATTGGCTTCCTAGATTCTGTGTCCGGTTTTTCAATGTGTTGAAACATCTGAATTTCATGGAAACACTTTATGCACAGTTTCTATTTCGTGTTGTGCAGCGAGCCATCGCAAAGAATGTGCTTTGGAAGGCCGAAAGCTCAGCTCCTGGGAGTTAGTGGGAACTTCAAGATGTCCAACGCACTCAAAACATCGCACGGGCATGCATTTATCCGAAAAAAGGTGCAGTTTCCCAGCGCATGTGCAACAAAATGTAAACTAAGCTCTTGATTTTTATAGAAGTCAATTAGCTACGTTCCGCCTCAAAATGGCTGCAAAGCAATGACTGTTTGGGAGCATTCACATCATTCACGTCCCTCCTGAATCTGAGCAGAGGATGATTCAACAACACAAAAAAAGGTCTAATACTAAAGAAAAACGGCCCAATGAACCAAGAGCAATCAAATGACACATATCACATGCTCTTAAGTGAAAGGGCATGGTGTTATTTCCACTTGTTGTGGGTTTTGTTTTGAGGCGGCAGTATGGCCGAGAAAAAAGTACTCGTTCTTCGGACCGGATATACCCGGGTGCAATCCCGGGGGCGCTTGCAAAGCGCCGCCCGGACCGGTAGGTGCTAGAAAAAGGACCCTGCGCGTCCCGAAACAAAAAAGAATCCATCGCACACCCGAAACGGGTGGAAAAAGAAAAACGAAACCCCCACAGCTGGTGGAACTTTCAGCTTCTGCACGTCCCTCTGCGGAAACGGGTGGAGAAAAAAAAAACAAACTGACGGACAAAAAAACAGCCCGATTCCAGCCTGGACAGTTTCGACAGAAGAGCCTTCTGAAGGCTCGGGTCTCTCGTGCCTCCACCTAAAACAGTCACTTAGAATGAACAACAATCCAATCTGGTTTCTAGATGTTTCTAGTATGCATCATGTTGATATACACACATATATATATATATATAGCCCCTTGACACCTGACAATGTGTCTTTCAGGCTCATTCAGGAGGCTTCGAGGATGATAGCAAAATCAGGCCATCCCACCATCCTCCTCACGTTCGTAGCCACCCATCCCCAGCAGGTCGGTCCATCAAATTCACAGCTCGTGACACTGGGATCACGACTCCTTCGCTAAAGCCGCCACGACATACCTCGAAGGAAGGAGCAGAGCCTTCCATTCTTGTCAGATTAGTGGCTGCAGAACCGTGGCATTAGCATCTTGCACGCATGGTGGGTGTACTTCCTTTCGGTGGTCTCAAGCAGTTGCTTTCGTCTCAATTGCGATAATGAGTTGTGGTATCGGGAGCACGGAATCAACGCTGCCACACGTCCAGGGACGTCAATGATCTCAGGGATCGATGGCCTGCAGAGTTGACCATCAGCGTACTGCTATGCCAGCTATGCCATGTTTGGAGGCCATCGCCAGTAGGTTGGAGGCCATTACAATTAGGTTGTCATGTTTTATCCATGTTTCATGTTGATCTCAGGCAAGTACCGGGCAGTGGATGAATTGGAGACGTCCTGGCTGGCGATCTGGGAAGATGGCGATTGAACAAACAGCATGAGGGTACAACGCAACAATGGCCTCCTCATCTCCATGGACCTGCATACAGCCAAGAACCCTACCCGTTACATGGCATAGGAAGGAATCATCACACACGTACGAGTACCTCTCCCTGGATCGAGTTTCTGTGTCGCAAGGGGTCTCAGGCAAAAGAAAGAGGCAATCAAGTGTCGTCATGAAACTAAAGAGGTTGCCGTCTGTGTCTGAAATCTAACTTACCCAAGCACTCCTGATAGGCTTTGCGAGGTGCGGGCTCTTTTTGCAATTCATTGAATCATGTTGAATCTAAATGTTCATTCCCGAATTGGCTTCACCTGTGTCAGAATGTGAAGCTAGTGGCTTTGCGCTCTGAGCCTTCGCAACGCACTTATATTGTATATGTGTATTTATGTGTATAAGAATGTGCAGCGAGTTCTAGTCTTGTCTGAAATCCAATATTCAAGAAACATACGCTGCCCAAATCACAAATTATCCTTCCTAACATGCTTGGAAAGAATGAGATCACTGAGTGATCCGAGCTTTTCTGAAGATCTGTGAAGGGGTCAAGGGATCTACTTTGGATGCTTTGAGTACAATGAGTTGGTTTGGCTCGCCTCCAACGACACGAAGCGCGGTGTGGCAGCTAGCCTCTTGACCTTGGATGTGGCCCCTCCTCAAATCTTTGGAGAAAGACGGGCAATTCCATGAGCATCTCTGACGTCTCAACCAGTGTGTGCCCGGTTAGTCATCCTTCTAACAAATATTCAGATTTCATGAGTTGACTTTCTTCCCCCTCATGTTGGCTATCACATCAAGTGTCGACGGTTCGGACTGGGTAAAAATGTTCATCTTGTTTTGAGTGCATTCTCCCAAATATTGCCCAACTAACCGAGATCAAGGACGCTACTAGGGGCTCCTGGCCTTACTTACTACTAGGAGCAAGAAGCTACTAGGGGCTCCTGGCATCGCTGCTAGGAGCAAGGACGCTACTAAAAGCATAACCACAAATTTGACTCGAGCAAAGGCGGCGGCCAAATGCGGCCAGGGCACTGCACATGGCGTGGCCATTGCACGGAATGGCTAGACAGTGGCTGGTGAGTTAAGAGTGGTAGGCCTGGTGGGCAAGTGGATGCTGATGCGTCAGAACGGCTGGGTAGCTGCCGAATGCTGCCGATATGGTTTGGGATGCAGGGGAAATTAAGTAATCATTACTATATCATCATAAGACAGCCAGCAAAGTGATGGTCACTTTGATATTTGTTTGTTTCAGAGTCAACGCTGTTAGGATCACAGCGCATGTCCATTAAGTTGAACTAACCTTTAGGCCTTTGGGTCCTTTCATGTCTTAAAAGCAATGTCAGATTTCTGTGCCTGAGTGAGCAAAACAGGACGAGGCTGATCAGAATGGAATCTTGCCATAGCAAGCGACAAGCCATCGACCAAAGTGGACAAGCTTTGGACTCCGTGGGCATCAGTCCTGGCTGTAGGCCTCTGTGGTTTGCTCCAAGCCCTCCCAATGCCACCTGACAGCAGCTGTGCCCAAACCATGACCGCGTCAACTTCGCCAGGGTCCCAACTTCTTGGAATCAGTGCCATCTGCGATGGCCATGGCCTGCGAGATGTGTCATCAACGGTCAGCATTCTCTCGGCGCGAGATGTTTGTTCATGGACTTCACAAGGGCTGAATGAATGGCTCAGAACCATTGGCAGACCTTGTCGAGCAAACCTTCGATCAAACTGCTCCACTGGGAATCGTCAATCGTATCGATTTCGTCCTTCTGCCTCAAACACTTCAACTGACCCACGCCATGCAAAAAAGAGCTTGGAAGCCCTGAGGTGTTGACTCATGTCGAGCCCGTGGAGGTGCCTACAGTTGAATGAGCACGGCTTGAGTTGACACTTAGAAACGGTGTATGAAGACTATATAAACATGTGGGCCCAAAATGGCTCACATCTCAACATCGACTGCACATCTCTCAAAATCTCGGTACACCAGCTCGCCCAAGTCAATCAAGTCAAAAGGCCTCATGTAACACTGCAGCAAGAAACTGCAAGCTGACCTGAGTGTTCAAAAAACAGCAGTCAGCACAATGATGTACAATGTGGGATACTTTTGACCTGGGAGATGAACGGTGGCCAACAACAAGCTTGTTAGGCAGAGTGTGGTCACAACTCCATACCTCCAAGTGGGTTTCCAAGGTGTCGCATTCCAAATCCGAACAACTCAAACTCTGGTGTACCCCCCTTTCGAACAGCACAAAAGCACAAATGAATTTGAAGTGATCTTGGAGCCTGAGGCCTGGCAGCAGCAACCCTGGCATCAAAGCTGCCACCTGGAATATGAGAAGATAGGAGGAACATGAGGTGGCATGCAAAAAAGCACACACGCTCCAAACAAAAAGTTAACACGTTCCAGCGTATTCTTTTTCATAAACTGCAGAAGTAAGTGGATGTAAGGAGTTGCAAGAAGCACTACTAAAATCCATTAAGCACGAAAAAGTCCAGACCGAAGGCCTTGCTGGAAGAGTCATTCAGATCTGCTAGGGCCGCTAGGGTCTGCACTCTCTGCACTCGGCCGGTGATCTTTTTTGCTCTGCTCACCTCAGAACCTCGAACATCCTGGCACCCACGGTGGGTTCACGTGTCTTCAGACCACAACATAGACCATGACGTCGCCTTGGCCTCAGATCCTTGCACGTCCGTATTGTCATCATCCAGCCTAGTCCATGTCACCCGATGTCACCTGTCCTGAACTTGATTTGCCAAATGCGCTGCTTCAAGTCGGCTGGGCGACGATCACTAGATTCATTTTGGAGATGGAGGGGTCAATATGATCCTCCTGAACCTTGTAGCCAGCTTCTTCCAAACATCGAAGTCGAGCAGCATGAATCGCACTCTGCCCAAGTTGATTGACAGCTCCCTTCTCCAACCAAGGCCATCTTTTGAAGGACCAGTGGGGTAACCACGGCCACCCAACTTCTGGGGGCAATTTGGGCTCCTTTGAATAACAGCAAGGCACCAACACCAACGGTGATCTGTTCGTTTTTGCGGCCAGAATGATCTCATCTGACAAAATGCTGCAAGCATGACAGGAAGCGACCAACTCACCTGTTGTCTTGAGACCCCCATGCCGGACATCTTCCTCTTCCCAGGTGATTCGCTCCAGGCTTGGCCAGCGTTTTTGTAAAATCTGATGCAGCTGACGAGCCAAAGGTTGTTGCCTCTTGTCGGAGCATCGAACTTCTCGTTGAGGGTTCAAGAGCATCAAGAAAATGCCCAGGAGGCCACAACCTGTGGCCCGGACAGTAAAAGTTTGTGGACTGTCGTTTAGTACCCTTAGTGGGGTGCATTTCAAATTCTTCATCTCTCTCTCTCTCTCTCCAAAAATTACAGAACTGGCATGCCAAATTTTCTGCACACCTCATAATTACTACAAGTAGGTTGGAGGCCATTGGAGGCCATTAAAGTCTTTCACCTCTGGCCTGCACAAAACTCAGTGACGCGAACTTCCTGTGGGAAGTAGCGATGGACCAGCTGCGCCACAGCAAAGCCCTCGAAGAGCTCCTGGCAAATTGCTCCCAAAACGGACCACAGGTGAATCAAAACTGGACAAAAAAAACATGGACACCGGTTCGTAGACGTAGCAGATCAGGGGAGGTCTTTCGGTGCAAACAATTCATTGACTTTTGTGTTGTTAATTGTCAGCTTTCCATGCGCGGCAGGGTAACCTACATGTCCATGTCTCCTTCCGTGGGACCTTTCCCGGCAGATCATGACTAATCACGCTGCCCACTTCGCATAGCAAGGGCTCCGAGTCCCCACTTCGTGCAGCATGCTGAAAGGACCGCACGTCACCGACCTGGGGATCGGCGTGTGACCGGAGTTTAGGGCAGCTGTCCAGTAACAAGTGCCTTACTAGTAGTAACAAGAAGCTATTAGGAACAAGTGCCACGCTAGTAGTAACAAGTGCCTTACTAGTAGTAACAAGAAGCTATTAGGAACAAGTGCCACGCTAGTAGTAACAAGTGCCTTACTAGTAGTAACAATAAGAATTTAATTAGAATTGTAATTGCTAGCTTCCTATTACTACCAGTAAGGCACTTGTTACTACTAGCGATGCACTTGTAAGTACTAGCAAAAGAATCTACTATTCTCCAGGACTGTCCATATTCTGCCCATTGCCCGGCTAGATATCTCTGCCTTTCGTTTCTCACGCAAGCTTCCCGACCAAGCCCCATGACTTTTCAAGGGGAGAGAACTGGCAAGTGGGTTTTGATGTACGCCAAGACTCCTGCAAGCAACTTCTGGAACTTTTCCGCCATGCTGATACTGGCAGCTGATGTCGCTCCAAGGGTTGAGCTGCACAGTACAAACTGCATGGCAGCAGAAACAGCCCCCGCATGGCAGCAAGGCTTCAAGCGGAAATCTGCTTATTCATGCAGAATGCAAAGTCAGAACACAACATAGCCTCCAACCTAATAGCGATGGCCTCCAACCTATCAAGCTTAATTTTCCCTTATATAATATAAGCAAGGGCATCGCTACTAGTAGCAAGAAGCCACTGGTAACAAGGGGTTGAGTCGTTCTTGCTTGGCTTTAATTTAGTGTTTGAGATTGGAGCGTTGAATCAAATGATTCCAGCCTTGAGAGTTTGAAGCATTTTGCTGCAGTGCCCTCACCGCAAACACACGGCACAGGACAGCTGGCCTCTGATCTACACATGATTCAATGTTCCTAAGTGTGATGAACTCGCTGGCCGTGCAAAGTGGTTGTTCGCATTCGTTGCGCAGTTGCACAGCTTCCCGGCCAATTGTGTGTCTTTTTGTTCCTCGACGCTCAATGTGCTACAGAAAGCGACACTGTACAGTTGCTTTGATTGTCGCCTTCGCGTACCTGCCCACCCGAGTTGGAAGTGCGGCGTTTGCTGTGCGTTCCCTTGATAGTTTTGGCCCCACATGTTGGTTTCGAGAATCATGTCAGCGACCTTGCACGCCTTACGTAATGTCAATAAGTGGGAACCAAACAAAAGGCAAAATCCGGATCAAAGTACAGTGCTCACTGATCAATCAGAAGTGAAACCTGCCATTTGCCGCACTCATGTCTTTCGAGAAAGAAGAGTCCACCTCCAATGTGGTGGGATTTCACATGCATTTCTTGGCTCACCAGGTTGGCAAGTTACTGTTAGGAGAACCGGGGGCCCAAAAAGCGGGAAAAATAACAAGTCCTGCCCAACCAGTGCAGTGAAAGTTGACACCCTTATGAGCGTACATGTACATAGAATCACGGAAAGAATTTCGTAATACATTGACTGAAGCCGATCTGAATTGAATCTGCTGATTGGATGATTGGATGCTTCATGGGCCCGGGCCCTGTTCGGGAGCCATCCACGATTCCTCTTGGCAGCCGAGAGAGGAGACTGAGGAGACTCAACTCAGCACAGCGTGCCACTCCGTCTGGAAGACATCAAAAAAGAACATTTTTTTCGGATAGGCCACGGCATTCCCGTCAGAGCTGCCTTACACTGCCTTTGTTCGCATTGGGCGGTTGTCAGATTCTAAGGGCTGGTGACTTGTGTGCCATCCAGGTAACATCAGCAATCCAAGCAGCTCTGGCTGGTGGGTGAATCACCGAAGCCCTTGCACTGCAATGTGCACAAATTTAAGCCCCTGCCAGTTTTCTTTTCGAGATCTGCCAGGAGACATGCGAAACCAACGTATCCTTCATCACACCGTCGAGCGTTGTCCCTTATGTTCCAACAACTATTCAACTATTCTATACTCATGCGGAGATAGACAACTAGTCCGCCAATCCCTCCCACTAGCAAAATCCACGTGCGTGATGGGGAAGGCAAAAAGGCTGCCAAGGCTCTGACAAACCTGGCCGAGAAAAGATCTGAGATCATTCACTCGGGTTTAAACTTCTCAGCACCTGGGACTTAGTAGGGCCCTTCCGGCGGATTCCTTGATACATGAACCTTAGGAAATCATAGTTCGCTTGTTGATGCGGTTGGCACACAAGCTTGGCTTTAGACATGGGAATGTGACCAGAATCGCATGTTTGCCGCCACACCCTCGATCCCAAGGAGGATCGGATACGAGCTAAGTTGGTCGAATCCACCCAGCGCTAAGCTGATTAAATCAGCTCCGCGTGCTTCGCGGGCTGTACAAGGCCAGCTGACGCAGGTGCACGGGTGCACCGAAAGAGGAGCCATGGCAACTTCTGCGGCTTTCTGGCTTGAAACTTCTTATATAACTTTAGTCAAAATAAAAGGGTGCTTAGAAGATCAAAGCACTTGCGATCTAGAGCTCAATGGCTCGAAATGTGCCGTCTCTTCGAAGGTGCTGCTCCAAGTTGCGAAACCATTTTCAAGAGGGCGAAACGCGTTGCGGCCCTAGTCTAATCAATGACCGATAAAAATTCCAAAAGGTGCAAAGGGGTCAAGAGTCGCTTGACCGACCCGAACCACTCAAATGGAATCTTCCAACTGTTGCCGGGCAGCGGTGACCGGACCTCAGAGTGACACAAACCGGTCGGTGCTACGTGTCCACAGAGACAAATGGTCGTTCTCTTTTTCAGAGTCTTATCTACAAATGCTTGAGCTGCTTGGACACGGACAACCTTTAGCACTTGCCGCCAAACCAACAATACCTTCAATTTGGAGAGCTTTCCGGCTGCCTCAGTGGCGTGAATCGCCTTCCTTCAACCGCCCGCGCCAAAAAAAACGACGCCAGTGCAGCAAATTTGGTGCAAAACGAGCATCGCAAGCACTTAACCGGAACAAAACGAGCTGACTGACCAAGGTGTGTGAACATGTGAACTCATAAACGTAAATCATGAGCCATTCCAAATCCAGGACCCCACCTCCTTTGGCCTTCAACTTCTTGAGGCAGCCCACCCTTGCACGGATTGCAGTTGCATATCACATCCATGAACTCTGAACCGGTTCCAAAAATGCTTAAAGGGATTCAAAGGGTTTCCTGGGATTCTTTGAGAAGCATTCCAAGTCCCTTAAACCACGTCTGACAAAAACCTCGAGCAGCTGAATGCTGGGCAAGCAAGCTTGGAGGGAGGCACTAGTCCAAATCATACAATTCATATCATATGATATCATATACTCGTTTGTCCAGTCAATCTTGCTCTGTCATTCCTTTCAATCATTCTTTGGGGATCGATTGAGCACAAACTGAGTCTAACACGGACATAAACGATCTCATCCAGCAAATGTTACGTAGAGTTGTGTCAATTTGTGTCTTCATTATGTATGTATATATATATATATATGTGTGTGTGTGTGTCTAGGAATCTTTTTGAATAATTGGAAGATTAGGGTTTC